GTCTGTCATCTAATTTTCTTTATCTACCACACCATCGTCATTGCAGAGTTACAGTGACAGCCAGACGTCTTCATGTTGTCCGATCTACCACAACATAAATGCCAGATGGTGTTGTAGTGACAGCAGAGTCCACACATCTCCATGTTGTCCGATGGTGTTTATTTACCACAACATAAATGCCCTTTGTCTGTCATCTAAATGCCCTTTTGTTTGATACTAGTAATTAAATACGTGCATTTGCACGTGGAAATTTTAAATTGCAAAAACTATTATTATTATTATTATTAGTAGTAGTAGTAGTAGTAGTATAGTAGTAGTAGTAGTAGTAGTTATTAAACTTTGTATTCCATTTCTGGATTAAATAAAAATATTTTTTATTTTAATAATTATTTTTATTTAATATGATAAATATACAACATTAGAAATGTTCCCAAATGTTTTCGATAAATTCTATACTTTTTCATTTTTTGTGTTCTATCTTTTTTCATCTATACTATATAAGTACTTATCACACTTTATTTTTGTTTGACATAATTAATATATTTTTTATATATTATTTTAATTATTTGTACTTTTTTGTGTTTTTTAAATATTTATTATTTAACTATCATATCATAAACTAATCTATTTGACCCAAACCACTAACCCACCACTTGAAAAGAAAAATAGTTTGATTTCTAAGTTGGCATTAATTTTTATATTATATCTCCATTATTGATAAAATTATTTCCTATGTATAATGTTTATTTTTGTTCAATATAATGATTGCATTATATTAGAGATGTAGCCAATATTTTATTTTTTCTAAATATATAACATTAAATATGTGCCCAAATTTTTCTCTATTTTTTGTTTTAGTGATTCTTTGTATTTTATGTTTTTAAAAAATGCATTATTTGATTATGACATCATTTTATTTTTATGTTGCTTTTAAATTTGGCATTCTATTTTCATCATTAATAAAAATACTTCTTACATTTCATACTTATTTTTATTTAGTACAATGAATATACAATATTAGAGATATGCTCAATTCTTTTTTTTTGTTTTATATATTTTATTATTTAATTAAAGCATTATTTATTAACCCATTTGACCCCAAATGATTGAATACTTGAATTGCTTACCCACAATCGGGAGGGAAGAAAATGGTTTTGTTTTTAAATTACTCAAATATTTATTTTTATACTATTAAAATTAATATTGTAGATTTAATTAGTTTAATTTAATGATAAGAAAATATATCTTAAATATAGGATTTAATGAGAGAATATAACTTAGATTTGGGATTTAATGAGAGAGAATAGGAAAATATTTTTATTTCCAATTGGTTTTAAATTTTACATTCCTTTTCCATCATTAATAAAACATTTATTATTTATCATACTTATTATTGTTTAATATGTTGAATATATGATGTTAAAAATGTTTCCTTTTTTTTGCATTTTATCTATTATTTAATTTTATCATTTAATTGTGACAACATGGATTGACCCATTTTGACCCAAAGTGGTTTAATTTCTTACCACCACTTATACGAAAACACTATTTTTTTGAGGTAGATTTTAAAAGTATAAGCTTTTATGTTATTGGAATTATTAGTTTATTATGTATTAATTTAATTAATAAAATTTAATGACAAGAATAAACAAAAATGCCTTAAATATATGATTAAATGAAGGTGAATGCAAGTTAATACCTTAAATGTTGGATTTAATGAGAGGGGATTGAATGCATTAAATATCTTAAAATTACCTTTTTCAACTTATTTAATATCAATTACAAATTGTCCTATTTGCCCTTATTTTTTATCAATAAATTTAAATATAGAGGGGTAAATGTTGTCCTCAAAAAATTCCAAAAATATTCTTGAGGCTATCCATGCTTTTTAAAGTAGTATATGGTGTTGATGATGTGGCCCAGAGATTTTTTTCTTATTTGGTTGAAATATAATTTTTTTATTTTTATCAAATTATGTATTTTCTACGTTTTTACTTTTTGATTGAAATATATAGTTTTTGATTTTTTTACCATTTCCTTTGTTTTCTACATTTTTTCTTTTTATTTGAGATATATACTTTTTTGAAAAAAAAACCATTTTATGTATTTTTTTGCAATTCAGATTTTTTTGGCTGAAATTTATATATTTGAAAATAAAATTATCATATATATATATATATAAATTTCAACTTTTTGTTAAAATATGTAATTTCTTATTTTTTTCAATTTTTGTGTTTCCTACATTTTTAATATTGAGTACATGCATACCGAGGTCGAAGTGGGTGGGTCAAGGTGAGCAAGGGTTAGGGTGGATCTTGACCCACTAAGAATCAATGAATGTGGGTCATAATTGGTTACTGGATGAATATCGGTGGATTGACACCCAACCCAACCTAATCCACCCATTTTCCACCCCTACTCCAATTTGATTCAATTATATATGTATTAATGGTTAAATGTACCAAGGGATGGCAACGAGATGGGTTTGGGGATGGTTTTGTAAATTATAGATCTTACCTATTTTCCTAAACCTTCCAATTTGTATTTGTCCCAAAATTCATTAAAGGTTGGATTTTGAGAATTCAAACCCTTTCCACACATGAAAATCAAAAACCCTATTCTCCTAGTGTTCAAGGGTAGGGCAAATTGGGTTTAGAGCTTGCAATATTTAATTTCTATTTTTTTGTGTTATATATAAATAATAAATAAGTAAAATAACACAAATAAACAATAAAATTTTCAATGATTTGATTAAAACATGTAAAAAATACAAACTATCAATTATCCTTCACAATAAATTCAAAATACTTTTAAATTTAACACTTAATATTGTGCCCTACCCATACATGTACAGGTTGTAGAATCCAATAACATGTCCCTACCCCAAAATTCATCATTCAAGCAAAATAAAGTAAAATAATATAAAATAAAATAAAGCCCAAGTAAAGTATAAATTGTCATCCCTCTCTAAACATGCATGTGTAAATTTTCTAAAAAAGGTGATGGTTATATGTCTCAGAGTCCATGAAAAACCCCAAAAAAGAAAACCCTCATCATAGTGGTAATATAGTATGTGTTTGACTGTTTGGTTTTGTGAACGTTTATAGATGGGTCATTTATTTCTTTAAAGGTTTATTTGAAAAACTTTACTTTAAATGTTTCATGATTTTGTTCTTGTTATTTGGTTGGGCATTACT